AAAAAAAAAAAAAATCATAACAAGACACCTATATTTAATTTTTAAATATACTAGATGAGAATCTCTAAAACCAATACAAATTTAATAATTAATATTAAACATGATGCAAATCTATCATGCATCCCTGGGCACTTCAAAACTACTTCCAATATTATTCAATGCTAAATTATATATACTTTGATAATTTTAACATGCTTTTGAAAATATCCTTTTTTTCCCTTAATACACACCAAATAAAATCCCATGCTCAATCATATGCCTTCTTAAGATCATAAAAAAAATATATGGAGACCCTCTTTGCTCCATAAATATTTTATATTGATTGCATTATCCCATAAATCACATCCGTGGATCTTCCTGATATAAAATTAAAAATAATGCTACTTTTACATTAAGGGTCTAAAATAAATGGAACGCTCCTACAGTGATGTTTGCAAATCCAACCCGAATCCAAATAGGAAGAAAGCATTGGCCTTGGCAGAATAGTCATATCCATGAATATGATATACTTAGTCATTTGCACGAGCATGTAGCTTTTAAAAAGTTTGTCGTATTTGCCCAAAAAAATTTTAACAAGAGCAGAAAACAAGAAGTAAAAGTGTTTTTGCAAAGTAAGATCGCCAAAAATATCGACATACTAACTGATTATGAATCTTTTGGCTGCATGTTGTCGACAGCCCCGCTAAAACAATCTTTGCATTAACACTGTCCTGAAAACAACCAGCATAAATGACATTAGGAAAGAAAACACATGATCAAATGCATAGAAAATAAAAGAGATTACCCATTGGAATCGCATGACTTATTAACTGTATGCTAGATGCATAGAGAAATTTAATTATAATATTAGCATACGACTGAAGGGATTGAATTCAAACTTCTAAGAAACATAGTTGTGACAGGATTGCACTCTTCAAAAATATTGGAAACCAATTGGAAATTTGGAACCTTCACCCGGATCAGATGGATACACAAGAGCTATTAACCATAGGTTCCCATCAAGATAACCTTTCCCATTAAAAATTTAATGATAATTGAAAAAGAATAATGCATCATTGGACTATTAACCATGGAGGAATTAAGACTGAAAAAATAGGACCCACCTTGAACTCTGATATTAGCATAGACACAGGAGGGTAGGCTGGATCTTCAACACTTTCAACAACAAAAAGATATTCCAAGGGGCCACCATAAAGAGAAGTAATCTGCTTCAGAATATTTTCCAATAAAAACAAAAATTAAAACAATTAAATTGGAAATTAAAATCGAATTAACTTGATTCAATTAGAAGAATCCGATTACATGCCTGCTCAGAAATTGGTGTTTTTAGCACACATTAGTTGATTTTGTTCAATTTTAATGTAAATGAAAAATAAAAGAAGAGGAAGCAGTGGGTTAATTAGGTGGTTACTTCATACTAATCAAAATTTTCCTCAATTATTCTTATTTCTATTAGTTCCTCTCTTTTCCTTCATGTACATGCACACAAAGTTACAAGAAAGGATGAAAGAGAGGAAAAATGAGTGGAAACTTCAACTTCCCTATAATTTTGCTTGTTTCAACTAGATGGATATGTGCCGCTTTTTATAAGGCTATAGCAACCCTATTAAATCTTCATATACTTAATTTAGTAGCATAAGAGATTCCAGATGACTAAGACAATTTAACTTTCTATCTCTATTAATCACTTTAAGCTATTTTTGGTTTTAAGTTTGATAATCACAACATGAGCACCCTGAAACCAGAAGAACTTGTCCCGAGCACCATTATAAATTTTTTAGAATGATTCATCGACAAGAACAATATAAATATATGCAACTTGCTACTTAATGTTAGGTTATAAAAACTTGAATTCTTAGCGTTGTTAGAATATTATAAATTGTGTGAGAACTTGAACTTAGAAACAATAGAATAATTTCATGTATAATGTCATTATAATATTTACAAGCTTCCGCTCTTAGAATATTTTCAAGATACATGTAAATACAATAACTCTTAGAATATTTTAAGATACAGATAAAAATTCTAAGAGGCTTAGGATGCCCTCTAATAATATTTCCAAGTTATGGGCAACTACAAGGTTCTAACAGCATTTTTATGTTCTAAGGCATTTTTTTCACCATCAAAATTTAAACTTCTAATAAATTCGTAACACTGCTAAAAACATGTTGAATAATTTCAACAACAATGACATTATAAATATATATAACTTGCTCCTGAGTGTTTCGGTATAAAAACTATGTTGTTCTCGTTTTAACATAGTTTTGTAGAAAATGGACTATTGTGTCAATATGCTTGCTCCTTTCATGGTGTTTTGGATCCTTACAAATTCCTTATCGACAAATATTGTCATTGGATCTCTTGATGATGCTACAAACCATAGAACAAATTTCTTATTCAAATAGCTTTACATAAGCTACATGTTGCAGTTACATATGTTGCTTTATAAGAGAACAACACAAAAATTTCTTGCTTCTTTAAGAACCAGGAAAAAGTAAATCAAAGACATAGCATGAAGTGCTTCTCACTTATGACAATCAAGCCGTCCACCAGATTACAGTGAATCAATTGTATTAAAGGTTTAGAACAAAATTTTAAGTACAAAGTTTTGACGCTTATTTTCTCATCAAAAGTTGCAGTTGAAATATTGTTGCAACGAATATCCATCTCTAATCACATAGAAATAGAAAATGCTATATACTGATCTGATAAAGCGTTATTATTTAAAAATGAAAGAGCATAACATACCAAAACAATTACAAAACTAACCTGGCTTCTCCAGTTTTGCAAATTGTGCTCTCCAAACCCTTTCAAGGGCATGACAACTGAAACTCTTGGTAAGTTTACTTGAACGGAATGCTCAAGATCATTTATATCATCACAAATAAATCCAAAACTATTACCACCATCAATATTGTGTTTAATTCGCCGTGTTACTCTACTCCTGATAGACAAATTATGAAACATATAAAGCACCCCTATTATTTCAACACTAGAAAATTCACAATAATTTTTGCTCTTATGATATGTTCTTACCTCACAAAGGCTGCAAAACTCCATCCTAAAGCCAGAAATAAACAAATAAAGCACCCCTGTAACAAAAAACTTAAAAATAAGGAGGATCTACATTGATATTTATTGATTTAGAAAAAACATATGATAAAATTTCAAGAGAAGTGCTATGGAGAGTTCTTGAAAAGAAATGAGTTAATAACGTTTCTATTCAAATCATTAAAGATATGTATATCGGAGCTATTATTGTGTTCAAACACAAGTGGTTTGACCAAGTATTTCCCTATTTCGGTTGGGTTACATAAAGGATCAGCCTTAAGCCCATATCTTTTCGCTTTAGTCATGGATGTTCTCACTACATTTGCAAGAGGATGTACCTTGGTGTATGCTTTTTGCTGATGATATTCTTCTTGTTGATAAGACTAGAGAGGGAGTTGAAGGTAAACTTGAATTATGGAGGTCAACCTTAGAGTCTAAAGGTTTTCGCTTGAGTAGATCTAAAACGGAATATATGGAGTGTAATTTTAGTAGTAATAGACTTAGTGAAGGGATTGTGACCTTGGGCTATCAAGTCATTAATAAGAGTACACGTTTTAGATATCTTGGATCTATTGTTCAAAGTGATGGTGAAATAGATGGGGATATTATCAGCAGAATTCAAGTTGGCTGGTTGAAGTGGAGGAATGCATCGGGCTTGTGTGATAGAAATGTACCCCTCAAACTTAAGGGAAAATTCTATAAGATGGTAGTGAGGCCTGCAATGCTTTATGGTGTCGAATGTTGGCCATTAAAAGAGAAGCATAATACTAAGTTAAGTGTGGCAGAGATGAGGATGCTCAGATGGATGAGTGGCTTTACCCTTAGAGATAGAATACGAAATGAGCATATACGTGAAAAGGTTGAAGTAGCTTCAGTAGAAGATAAGTTTAGAGAGAGTCGCCTTAGATGATTTGGTCACATAAAACGGCGGCCTTCCAATGACCCGGTTAGGAAAGTAGAGGTATTAGATTTGACTTATGTTAAGAAATGTTGAGGCATACCTAAGAAGACTTGGTTAGAAAATATTAGAAATGATCTTTGTTTATTAGATTTAAACGAGAATTTAATTTTTAATAGGACACGATGGAGAAAAAGGATTCATGTAGCCAACCCCACGTAGTGGGATAAAGGCTTGATGTTGATGTTGATGTTGAAACACTTCGTTCAAACATTGACAGGATTGGCAATGGTTTAAAGCACATGATTATGCTTTCTTTTCTAGACAATAGAATCAGGTTTTTCTAGACAGCATTACAGTGCACACAAAATACATAACTTAATATTGTTACTTAAGTACTAAACGTTAAATGATTTATGTAACGCAAATCTTTTATTTTCCTGAGTTAGCAATAAAGTGGTGGTAGTAGTTAATTTTTCTAATCTCAAAGCCTTGGATGCCCGTAAAAATTGAATTAATGCCTTCGCTCAGAACCAGTATCCTAGTTTAAATGTCACTAGTTTGAATGAAGAATTTTAATTGTCTTCTCCCCTCAGTCATCCGTTGATCGTAAAATAGGGCTGATTTTTTTTTTATAGCCCTGAATTTTATTTTTTAATGCGAGGCTATCACCGCGCACCTCCAAACCGTACGGTGCGACCTGCCCAAAAGATAATATTTACAAATTTATTTCTTGGATACAATTGATACTTTTATGTCACCATCTTCACTTTATGTCAATATCCATTCCAGCGGTGCAGAAGATTTCCCAGTTTCTAAACTTGGACCACATATATTATTGAAACCAACATCTGGATGCACGTAATAGAAGAAACACCCGTCGAACAGAAAATAACAAGCTAGAAACTCGATGCATAAAAATGAGCCTTGATTCATGAATTCACAGTCATGAATTGGCAGAAGGCTAGCAAAAGGAAGACAACCATCAAAGGATAGCCGGGCAAAGGAACCCGAACAGCATTTAAGCCAGATCCTGACGCTTATAACCAAATAGAAAGCGAATGACAGAAAATTGCACAGCATGAAGGAAAGGAAGAAGGTTGCGCACCTGGATCTGGACGAAGATGGCAAAAGGACTGCAACAGACTCTGCTCGCCGCCGCGAGAAACGCGTCGATTGATTCCAAAGCCGCCATTGCTGCGCCTCCCAGAGATTTCGATATGAGGAGTCCTAGCCCTTAAGCCTTCATTTGAACGCAGAGAACGAAAGCGCCGAATAAGAGATCGAACTGAAGGTAGAGAGCCCAGCCGCTTTATGCGGCCAAAATTTCTTTTGGACGGAGGGAAGACGCGGCAATAAGGAAAAAATAAAAATCCCGACTTAAATCAGTTAAATGATAAAAAAGGGAAGGAATAAAATGAATAAAAGTTTTGTTATTCCAAAAAGTATAAGTTGATTTATGTACATGGTAAATAGGAGTGTCAATATTTGATACGATTCGAAAATTCGATTCTAATCTGATCCGAAAATTTAGGGTTACGATCAACCTGAACCCGAAACAGGTCAGGTTCTGGTTCAACCTTTCGACCCGTTTCAAAAAAATGGTCGGGTTCGGGCTAACCCTTGACCCGATTTTGACCTGAAAATCCGATTTTGACCCGGCAACCCTAGATTGACCCGAAAAAGAGGAGATAGACCCATTTTTAACCCGAAAACTAGCAATTTTTTGTTGGAAACAGGTCATTCGGGTCTTGTTCAGGTCAGAAAAATGGACCCGTTTTTAAAAATGGGTCGGGTTGGAGTTGACTCGAATAGTGCCGGATCAGTTTCGGGTTCGACCAGAACCCAACCCGTGACCCGAAATTGTCTAGTAAACCATAAAAGTTAGGATGCATATATTATATTTAAAATATTTTAAATTTATTTAGACGAGTATAAAATAAATATATGAATTTTTTTAGTTAAAATGTACCGAGGAAGAGGAAGTGTCAGCTGACGGTCGCCAGGGGCATGATTTTCATTTTTTAAAAATTAATAAATACATTATTTTCCAAAATATTGTTAAATATATTATTTTAAATGCATGATTTATTCTCTCCTTTTTACTGTCCTGTTCTGAAATATCACTGTTAACAGATGCAGCAAAGACGATTGAATTTAACTGCACGACTATCACGTTCACGCCTGTTTTGCTTGTCCATCGTTTTCTACCACATGGAGCGATCAGAATTGGGTTTTTTTTTTTTTTTTTTTTTTTTTTTTTAAGGGAAACATTATTTTTTTTTTTTTTAAGGTAAGCATTAAGTGTTTTAGAAAATTTTGTGTAATATTCAAAATTAAAGAAATACTAATATTTGACTTAAATTTTATTCGGACTAAAATGCCCTTATTTTAAACTGAAAAATACTTTTATAATCATTTGATGAGTAACTAATTGCCTTGAATAGTTGGTGTTATGTTGTGTTCATTTTTAGTGAGACATTGGTTCATGATGTCACTTAATTTTTTCTATGCCTTCATCTTTATTCTTTTAAAGGAGTTTCTAGCTTTATTTGAAGACCATAGAAACAAATAATCTTGAAAATAAATGAAGGTTTGAAATGAGCACAAAATTTGCAATTCTTTTAGCTTCTGTCTTTTCAAATAGCTAGAATATATAAATAGATAATCAATATAAAATGTTTGAGGATAATAGCTATTATTATTGTAAAAGGGGTAATAGTCCAATTGTCTCTTTTGATAAGATTTGCTATTCTTCTAAACCACTTATATAAGTTTGCAAATACTAAGACTAGCACTACAAACATAATTTAAAGTTGCATATTGTTGTTATTTGGTTTTTTAACCATGTAATATTTTTATATTTTCTCTTATGCTTATATGACATTTGAGGATGGTTTAAAACTTCAGAAATTAACCAAAATTATCATCACCAAATAGATTCATGTACAATAATATGAAGAAAGCTAATATACTTTTGTTTGTTCATGAATCATGTTGTAAACTAAGCTACTTATTATGCCTCTTCTTCATCTTAAACTGTTGCGTCCTCGAAAATTCGCGGCGGTAGAGAAATATGAAGATTAATGCCTTAGCTTTGTACGAAGATCCAGAACACAAGCAGATGAAAGAGATGAGGGTGTAGCGTTCATAAGAGACACCAGAGTTTTTACGTGGAAACCCCTAAAAAGGGGGAAAAACCACGGGGCCTGGCCCAGTTTGAATGAATCCACTAGCGCTTGCAATTGATTACAAATGAGGCTGTTAAAAATTGTTTGACTTTAATAGAAAAAATTTCATCTTTATTCGAAAAAAGTTTCAAATAAAGTTCAAACATTATTTACATAAAATTCAAATATGATATTGTTAAAAAATTTAATAAAATATGTAAATTACAACCTCTAATAAAAATGTGTTTAATGTTCAAACAAAATTTAATTTTGTCAAACAATAGCATATAAAATTGGAGAAAAGCTATCACAATAACTATAAAACAACCAAGCAAACACAATATAAGATAAAATTTTAATAAAAAACCTCATATTAAATTAAAGTAGTTATATTGTCTTGCAGCATTAATAGTATAATCGTAGTAGCTTTGAATATTATTTTATAATGATTTTGAAATACAAATGAGCTTTGAAGAATGTTTCATAATGTGCCAAATATCTTTTGATAATGGTTTAATAATTTAAAGCAATCTTCAAACTTTGTAATCTAAAATGTAATATTCTTCTCTAGTCTTAGACATTATGGAGCATATAAACTCAAATTTCCCTTTTTTTATCAAACATTAATGAATTATTATATTTGAGTATGTGGTGACAAAAATTTTCAATTGATCAATCTTACATTTATTACCAATCATTGTTGGAGTCAAGTTTGCCCTTAAATGACATCATAACCTTACTAACAAAAATAGTTAAATAACAGGCTATAAAGAGAGAGAAAATCTAGAGTAAGAATTGATGGTTTTATTATATTGTAAAAAGTACAAGATTGATAGAAATAATGTGATGTGACAAGCTCTCCCTCGGATTCCCCTATTTATAAGATTGGGTCAAGGTACAAGGTTATAAAGAAAAGTTATATTTTAACTATACAAAGTTTAAAAAAGTGCATAGTAAATATCAATAAGTGCTTGTTGTAAAATGCATCAGGCATATAACCTAAATTAGTAAAGAGTACAAGTTGATTGCTTAGTAGAGATTGAATCCATTGAAAGTCAGTTGTTGATTTCATTTTAAGCTATCGAGTGTTGGTAAGTAAGTTTTTGTACTTGAGTGAAATTTCCTAACAAGTTGTTATGAGTAGCCTTTAAAAAAGTTCTAGAATATTTCACTAGCTACGTGATGGTATATTCTATGTGAATTTACAACTCTAGCACTCTATGATAATTTAGGGTGTACACTAATAATTATGCTAGTACACGTGTTATGATAACTAGTTGACATGTGAGTGAGTATCATTCCCACGAGGATAAAGATAATCTCAATATCACTCTATTACTACTATGAATTACTTAACTTATATAATCGATGAAATTTTTTAATGACAGTTATCAACTAATTTTATAGAAAAGAAATTATATATCTAAGTGGCCTCAAACCTATGATAGTTTAGAACTCTGCAAAGATAGATCTCATATTTTGTTGTTATGAATTAGAGTATAAATACTCCTCATCTCTATCAAGCTCCGTGAAGTTTCTAGCTAAGATGCACTTAACTATAATGGTTGTATATCCTTTATGACTCAATAACTCTAACCTCCATATGTCTATGTGACATAATTCCATTATAAATCCCCTATGTGTTTTCACTATGCCCTCATTAAGGACATAGACCACATTTAATTTTAAATTCATGCAAGGCCCTACACTAACTAAATGAAGTATGAAGGATTTAAAATAGCATAGCAAGATTCATATAAATAAGATATATCCTTATGCAGACAAGATTCTCAACATAGCATAAGCCTAGAGAATAGATTTAGCCAAACATTACAATTGAAATAAAGAAAACAAACTTCATTTAACTTGAAAGAAAAAGTACAAGAGGATGAGTAGGGTTAGATAGAACTAGATGTCATTGCAATTACCAATAAAGACTCGTTTCTCACTTGTTCCCCCTTCCCTTGGCTTCCACACACATACTCTTTCTCTCTTTTGAGACTCTACCTAAAACTAAATATGAGAGTAACTTGATCCCTGAGAAGAGCTACTTGGTATCTTAAAGTCTTAGGGACTCCAGGCTTTGGCTGAGTTGGTTAGGCTGACTACACCCTCCCCAAGTTCTATAGTAGAAGTCTTAAGAGATAAAATTTTATTCCTTGTCCCTATAAAAATGGGAAAAAGCTGCTCCTCCCTAGATTCTCCTAAGACTCCTACCTAAATAAAGAGTGCATAAACTACGGAGAGATGCCTAAATTCTCCAGAGGTGGTGCCCCTAATCATGTACATAAGGGATTAATATATGGTCTTCCCTACATCTATAATAAGGACAATATGCATTGCATAATTCAAAAAGACAGGATCCTTGGTAATCTCACTAATGTTTATACTTGGAATTAACCTTGATGAAGTGAAGTAATATCAAGATTTTAAAACCTCGGTGAGTGTAGAGGCTTGATTTATACCACCTTCTACATGACAACAAATGTAGGAAACTTTACTGAGGCTGATTCAAAGGAGCATGATAGTTATGCAGTACGAGGCAAAGTTCACTATTTTGGCTAGATATGCTCCACAGTTGGTTAGCACTCATGTAGAGAAGTGCTACATATTCCTTAGAGGACTTCGGGATAGTCTAAGACAGCCTCTTATGCCATTTCATATTTTTTATTTCTTTGTGCTTACAGAGAGAGCTTGTATGATAGATAATGACCTGATGGCTACTCAGCAGTCGTGGATTACTAGTATGAAGAGGTTCGATGGTGAAACTTATGGTACTGGCTTTTCTAAGAAAAAGAGCATAAACTTGGAGATTCTATGAGAGGTTGACAATCGGTATATACGACAGTCCCTGACATTGACAGTATAACTAGTTTTGGTTCTATTAATGGGGTACCTATGTGTAGGAGTTGTGGTCTTCGTCATTTTAATCAGTTCTAAAAGATGAATGGATAGTGCTTTAGATGCAATCAAACAGGACATCGGGTAGCAGAGTGTCAACATGTAAGATTTGGTTGACGTTCTGAGTTCAGATTTGAGAGCTTTGTCAAATTGGCATGGAGACTGATGGAAGTTCATCTTCATACTTTTTCTGAGAGATCATAGTTGAGTTTGAAGTTTGGGTTTAGTGGCAATGAGAGACCATCTAGCTGTGGTCAAAGAGAGCCTAGTAATTCTGTTGCACTAGCTCCAATTCAGCCACGTGTATATAGTTTGAC